TTTCCGTTTTTTTAAATTTGGTTTAAAACAGGATTTTTTTTCTTATAAAAGTAGTAAGTACTAATTAATTAGAATAATAAGAAAACCCCACAAATGATAAGATAATTGTCATCCATAAATGGAGCTCTGGTAGAGCAGTGGTTAATGCATTCGGCTGCCAAGCTAAAGGTCAGTGGTTTGAGTCCACCATCTGCCCCTAAGGGCAAGATGAGGCAGTCTGGTGGTGCTTTTTATTAATTTTTTTTTTTTTAATTGTGATTTGGGTGAAAGTTTACAGAGCAAATTCACTTTCCATATAGCAGTTCACATGGCAGTCTGCTACTTTGTTTTACAACCTTGGAAACCCTATGAGGCAATTCTTCTCTGTCCTATAGGGTCACTAGGAGCTCTGGAGGCGTAGTGCCTAAGGCATTTGACTGCTATCCAGAGGCTGGAGGTTCAAACCCACAAGCTACTCCTCAGAAGGAAGGTTGGGCAATCTACTTCTGCAGTGATATTGCCTTGGAAACCCAAGAAAGGGTCCCACCAGCCACTCCTCAGAAGGAAGGCTGGGCAATCTAGTTCTGCAGTGATACTGCCTCAGAAACCCAAGGAGGGGTTGCTATGAGTCAGATCCGACTTGATGGCAGTGAGATTGGTTTGGTTTTATATATAGGGTCACAATGAGTAAGAATCGACTCAGTGGCAGTGGGTTTGGGTTTGGGTTTGGTATCATCCATAATCCTATTATCCAGACACGAAGCCACAGTCTACTTTTTCAACACGGGAGACCTGGGTTGATTCCTGGCCAGTGTACGTGCCTCAGCCCAGCCACTCCCGTCTGTCAGCAGAGGCTTGCATGGTTTGATGCTGGACAGGTTTCGGTGGAGCTTTCAGACTAGGAAGGCAGGCCTGGCAATCTGTTTTTGAAAACATGAGCCCCTGGAAACCCTGTGGATCACAACGGCCCAGTCTCAGTGGGGTTGCCATGACAGCACGTAACAACAGCAACAACATAGTTTTAAGAAATCAAACAATGCACCTGCCATTTTCAATCACAGTATCTGATTTAACAGTAGCAAGACATTTCCTGTGTCATTAAATAGTCTTCAAAACATTTTAAATGTTTACAAAATATCCTGTCATGTTAACATACTTATGTATCTAGTTCCACATGGTTGGACATTCTGGTTGATTTCCTGTTTGTTACTATACATATCACCATGATAAGCAACTTTTTACATCTTTGACCACATCTCTGAATATTTCCTTAAGATAATCATTAGAAGGGGGTCTATCTGAGTCAGAAAGTATGGAGATATTGAGGCCCTTGATACATAATTGCCAGGTTGCCTCCCAGAAAGTTGGGACTGGCTGACACGCCCACTCACAGCTTACAAGAGCTGGTGTTAAATACTGAACTGGATCTGTTGTGTGAGATTTCACTGGAAAGTTCAAACTCTGCCCTTTGGGTAGAAGGGAGTCACGTGGATCGACAGACTCAGAACTAGAATTCAGAAAAACAATTTGAGCTGCAAGGTGGAGGTGGGATTGGAGAGGGCAGAGTGGAGGACCCCGATGGAGGCAGGCACTATAACTCGTGGAGGATCGTCTGAACCAGGGCAGAGCCGGAGGTGGAGCTGAAAGGCACACTGTGCAGGAAGAGGCCTGATGTCTGGTTGGAAGTGGGTAGGAGGGAAGCAGATGGTCTGGCCTGGGGGAGGGGCTTGAGCTGGGTCCACTGAGAGGATGGGTTGATGTCTCAAAAAAGCAGAACACTGAGGGGAGAGCTGGTGCTGGGGAAGGCGATAAGCTCAGATGGACAGTCTGAGTTCCAGGACATTCCTGAGGACATACCTGTTGGCTGGTGCCTGAGGGCCAGGCTGGGGCTGGGCTGGGTATGTTGCTGTTGTTAGTTGCTGTCATCAGCTCCAACTCATGGCAACGCCACGTACAAGAGAACCAAACGTCGCACAGCCCTGCGCCATCTGCACAATCGCTGGCAGGCTTGGTCATTCCTGTGGCCACTGTGTATCGTGACTTCCAACACAAAGGGCTCATCTTCCAGTGTGACACTGGACAACAGTCTGTTGAGATCCACAACAGTATCTTATTTCACAGTAGCGAGTCCTGGGTCCCTTTTAGGAGAATGGAAGCATCTTGAGCCCTGGTGGTGGTGTGTTAAAAGCGCTCACCTGCTAGCCCAGGACTCGCTTTCTGTTAATCTGTTGATTGGCTGTTTATTGAAGTCATCTCGAAGCTTCCTTGAAACCTGTCCACCACGGGTGATCCTACTAGTACTTGAAATACCAGTGGCTTAGCTTGATATAACCCCAAACCCAAACCCACTGCCATCAAGTTGATTCCAACTCATAGCAACCCTCATTGGGTTTCCCAGGTGAGAAATCTTTACGGAAGTAGATTACCCCATCTTCCTTTCCCAAAGTGGCTGGTGGGTTTGAAACTTCAACCTTCTGGTTAGCAGTCAAATGCCTTAGGCACTATGCCATCAGACAGAGCTTGATATAACAGGCAAGAAGGCCATTCACGAGGGACACTGGGGTGTGTCACTAGGAGAAGCACTTGCTTTGGTGTTTTGACTTTGACATGAACTTTTCTGTCCCCTCTGGACCTCAGCGTCCTCATCCACAGAGTGGGGAGTGACAAGTGAAGCAGAAAACGGATGAGGCTGCAAGGAAGGCCCCAGAGGGGATGTGGCCATTCCACACAACACAGCAGCAGACTGGGTCTGGGTTCTGACCCTGAGGCTTGGAAAAAACAGACTAGGCCCATTGTCCTCAAGTTCTACTCATAGTAATCCTACAGGGGGCACACTAGAACTGCCCGTAGGGTTTCCAAGGCTTACCTTTATGGAAGCAGACTGGCACATCCTCCTCCTGTGGAGTGGTTCATGGGTTTGAACTAGCGACCTTTGGGCTCACGGCGAGCGCTTTAACCACGGGGCCACCAGGGCTGGTCCCCGAGGCTTGAGATGCCTCCATTCTCCTGAAGGGAAGCCAGGACTGGCTTTCCAGGGTGCTGACCCCACGTCTGGCCCGACAGGTACAATGCCCAGGAGTACTACGACCGCATTCCCGAACTGCGGCAGGTCATTGATCAGCTCAGCAGTGGCTTCTTCTCCCCGAAACAGCCCGACCTGTTCAAGGATATTGTCAACATGCTCATGCACCACGACCGGTAAGGCCTGGACGCAGGGGCACAGGGCGAGGCTCCTTGGCCAGCCCAGGCTCTAGCAGCCAGAGGCAGAGGGGAAGGCCAGGCAGGGGTCCTGGGCAGCTGGGACAGGCTTCTCTGGAAGCCGCCTGGCTCTCCAGGCCCCCAGCTGGGAGTGGGGGGCATTCAGGGACAGGACCACTGAACCCTTGGTCTCACAGAGCTTCCTCCCGCTCCATTTCCCTCCAGGTTTAAAGTCTTTGCCGATTATGAAGACTACATTAAATGCCAGGAGAAAGTCAGCGCCCTGTACAAGGTGAGGGGCCTGGGCCCTGGGGGTGGCAGGCATGGGTGACCCGGGCCGGGATGAGGCAGAAGTAGGAGCCCACAGCCCTCTGCCAGCGGGTGAAACCACAGCTCCCTCCCTGTTGGCCTGTAGAACCCGAGAGAGTGGACACGCATGGTGATTCGGAACATCGCCACCTCGGGCAAGTTCTCCAGCGACCGCACCATTGCCCAGTACGCCCGGGAGATCTGGAAAGTCGAGCCTTCCCGCCAACGCCTGCCAGCCCCTGATGAGACCATCTGAGCCTCCAGACCAGACCCCAGACAGCAGGAGTGTTTGTGTGCAACCCCTTGGGGCAGCCCAGCAACTCGTCCAGAGCGTGGGGGTCCTGGGTCAGTTCTTAAGCCCCCTCCTGGAA